TACAAGATGCTAAAACCGTATGGTCATGAAACAACAAGATGAATTATGATTGTATTTTTGAGTGGATCTGTATAGTAATTTAATTTCTTTAAAAAAAAAGAAGAAGATTTTCAATGTAAATATTATAAAGCATAACGCTTTCTTAATACCATGGCATCCAGTTGAAGGACGTATGTAAATAATAAGTCTTTTAAAGGTACCATACCGATTCCCACATGCCAATTGTCATGTTTACATGTTTATGTATACCTATTTATTGGGACATAATTATTGTTTTGATTATGTATTTCCTTAATGCGATTTATATCTTTGTTTTCATATTAACTTACAGCGATAAATCAGCCACTACTAAGTCTAAAGGAAAAGAGTCCGATTCGTCTCCGCAGTATCAGAACCCTGTATTTGATCCGTCAAAGACAGACGTTCATACCTATCAAGACCTGCACACTGACAGCCACACCTACCAAGGTGTTAATACCGATGCGCAGAGCTACCAGAATCTTGCTGACCCTCATACCTACCAAGATCTCAAGAAACCTGATCAAGAAGCTATATACGAAGATGTAACTGACGCCATGAACAGAGACTATGTCAACGTGCTGAAGAAGAATTGATACACGAGATGAATAAAGTCCATCAAAATGAAATGAAAAAAAGTTTTATAATTTTAAGGAGAAATATATTACAAATATATGTGTATGTCTCTATAATTTCGTGAAGATGAAACCATGCTTTATCACTTATCGTGAAATATCAAATTTAATCTTAATAACTGAAAGAAAAACTGTGCTGATGGACTGTGGCGTCTCCTCTTAAGTATCCAAATGGAATACCATGACGAAAAGCTGTCAAAAAGTATCATGGCTTCGTTTTCATTCACCATCTCTACTCGCCTTACTCCCAAATCTGTTAATATCGGGGATCAGTTGGAATACAACCTTTTAAAATAATAATGATTCGCACAGGTCTGACGAATTTGGGTAAAAATAGTTGCACACCTTGGGTACCACCCTACATGAAAGTAAAGGTATGCGATTAGTTTCTTTAAAGCCTATCTACTCTAGTTTGGCCAGGAGGGATTAGACCTCCCTGTATGGTCACTGACAGGTGATTATCTCATTTAAAATATGAAAAAGGGTACCGTGGGGCACCAATGGTCACCACTTAGGCATTCTATTGATTACTTGTGTTAATGCCTGTCGTTGCTGGTGGAAAGCATTATTACAGCATCGATGAACAATAAAGAATAAATTATCAATTATTATTATTATAGTTGTTATTATCAACATTAATATTATTATCATTATTATAATTATCATAAACATTATTATTATTGTTATCGTTATCATTATTACTATGAATTTTATTATTACTACTTCCACTTCTACTACTTCTACGAAGCAGTGGAATTCAAGTTGATTAATAGTTCAAAGATAATGTGTTAGGATGTTAACGATGAAATATGAAATATAAGATGTGAATACAGATATAGACTAGGCCTATGCACAATAAAGTACACGTGAAATGTGCTAAGCATTATTTCCACATTTGTGGATATTATAAATAAATTATCAGTTATTATTAATATAATTACTAGTACTACTACTGGTACGCTCAAAAAATGAAGACAGGACTAGGTTTCCGCTTGGTTGTATATGAAGTCAACGATATGCCAGTTGAGCTATTTTATTCAACCTGAAAGTAGAATAAAATAAAGCATCCTCAATATACATGTCTATAACACATAAAATGTACTGAACTAAATCAGTATGCATTTATCCGGTAATGTATAATCAAAAGCCTTAAATAGCATTCATTAAAAGTCTTGACTCTATATCCAAAAACTCTCTAAAAGGCCTAAACCCCCATTAAACTCTATGTCAAAATAACATATCTTGACAGAAATACTGCTTTCATAAACACCCGAGTAACCAAGGTCCCCAGCCTAGATAAATTCCTAGTCAAGACTACCTTTAAATATATGCTTAATAAATAAATCCCATCTTACTCAAAGTATGTCAAACTTGTCTTTCTTATTTAGACTCATTGAACTTTCATTATAAATTCCAAAAAACCTGACTGTAATTCAGTCTTTTTCTTTCATAACTCTGATTTATCCGACACTTATTTCATATGTCAATACCAATATTTATAATTTGTCAACTAAAACAACCTTAAATCAACCTCTGACTAATGTCATTATAAGTCGGTGATTTAAAAAGCACAAAATCCCTCTTTATAAATGTGTGAATTAAACACTAACTAAATACCGCACATACTTTCAATGTAAACGTACACATTACGCTGTACACTCCTATACACATTAACATGCACATTACTAACACATCTTCGTACTCGAATGTGACACCAAATAATCATTAATTTCCACCAATTCATTATCATACACTTTATAATATCTTATCCAAGCTTTACTCACTTGTTTTGCGGAAATTGCTAGCGACTCTGAAATACCGTTGCCATTTTCCTAAACCTGGAATTCTGGCCTCTAAATAAGCATCTGAAATGATATGTCAGACCACATCCGTGGAAAAATGTGCTCTGCAACGTATACACTTACTTGACCCTAGAAGTAGGTCAGGGTCAATACGGTATCTTGCAAAAATCTTGGAAAAAACATATAACTTTCATGTTTCGCTGAAACAACTACTACTACTACTACTTCTACTACTACTACTACTATTACTACTTCTACTTTCTACTACTACTACTACTACTACTACTACGACTGCTACCTCCACGTCTACTAAACAGTGGAATTTAAGTTGATGAATAGGTCAATGATAATGTGTTGGGATGTGAACGATGAAATATGAAAATAAAAGTTGTAAATATAGACCAAGACTATGCACCATGAAATTAACGTGAAAGCATTATGTTATATGAGGGTGGATGTTTAGCGAATCATTATATAGTAGAATTAGAAGTTAATTAACAGAGTAAGATAATGCAATCCAATTCAACATGCATATATTACCATATGAGCAGGAGATGTTTAGGCACATATTAAATATGAATACTGATAAATAAAAATATAGAACGCACATATGTAAACATCAAAGAAGTAAAAACAATAAAGAATACAAAAGCAAATCAAGTTATTTTGTTTCAGCTCGTCATTTGGCACTTTTGAACGGTTCTCAACAAAATTAATACGTCTGATTATTAAAGCAGTTTAACATGTGGCAGACTGTTAGCACAGCCAGTTAGATACAAGCCAGATTACTTCGCGGTAACAATTATTACATTTAAAAATGCATTAATCAGGAGAAGATGATTACAAAAAATTCACCTAAATTCCCCCATTATGCTAAAAAAAAGATTTGTCATTCTTTTGGGGGGATCCCAACCATCGTTCTCATTGTAACTATTTAATTATTACTCGGGGAATTATTCATTAAGACTTATGAACACATATTTAATACCATTTTATTTAAAACAGTGAAATATTTTTTATATGAAATATTTAGACATGAAATCCAGCATATCATAATTAAGGTTTTGTGGATTATTTCCAAACATATGAAGATGCAATTCCAGGTGCATGGTGTAGAAGATTTCACGACGATGCCCCAGACGATATCTAAAATGTCGTATCCGGACACCTACCCACTGGACATCAATTCAATTCAATTATTTTTCCTCTTTCAACTGTTCATATTTACAATGATAGTACGTTTAAACATATTCACATATAAATAATAGGTATATGTATATTATACATATACCTGTAAATCAATTTGCACAATACAATACGTCAAACAATTAAACATGCAGTTGAAAGGGAAGGGGGCCGACAAAAAAAGCAGAGCTTGTAGGGTGCAGGCCCCCCTGTAAAAGTAATTATTATGAATTATTATTATGAATTATTTTTACTACATCCACCCCCGGATAACCACCCCAGTCAACTAACCCCTAGGACAACTACCCCATACGGCAAACACCCTCTAGGACGACTATCCCCAGCACAACTACCCCAGACAACTATATATATATATATATATATATATATATATATATATATATATAGTAAAGGTTACAGCTTGAAGTGTATGGCGCCCTCAACTTGCATGTTTGAAGACAGAATGGAGTGACTGAGAGAGGGAAGTAACATGCCTATTACACGCAGTGTTTACGGACAATGCCTCACTGACTATCTTACATATGTAGTGATACTATCATACAAATATTTATGAAAGAAACACAATTCAAGTTTTCCGCGTACAACAGAAAACCCAAATTATGTATTCTTTTATCAATATTTGTCTTCAAACACATTTGGGGGCAATCTTTGCAGAAGTATATTATAATCAATGAATGCTTTGGTTCGAACAATGTAAGTGAAGTGAATCAAATACACTATTCATATAATCCTCGTCTCAAATGTACACACACATACACACACACAATCATCAACGCACACACCCACCCACACACATACACAACCACCCACCTACACACCAACCCACACACGCTCCCGCACACACGGCCCACATATACCGGCCCACATATGCTCACACATTAAGTGGGCCTATTACATATCAAAATATACCAACGCTAAGACGGCAGTTTTAAAAAGGCATGAAAAAGGAGAAGAAGGAAAATAAATAACCAATGGAATCATTTCTTGCGTTCCTTTTACAAGCTAAATTATTATAAGGAGAACAAATATTTTCAATATAAACATCCAGTTTCTGTAAGGTTCCGCCTTGATATCCGGCAGTGTAGTGGTATTTTCCCCTTTAGATGAGGCAAATTTTCTAGCTGTAAAGCGGGGATCAGACAAAATCTATCGCAGCACGCTATTGGCTGTTCCATACATAGCTGGCTCGATATATGACGTAGTTTGAATCGCATTAGCGTAATTACCAGGTCGCTATAAGTATATGCTTTAAAAGATTTCCGGGACCCCGATAGACGGATTTCCAACACAAGGAAATCAGAACATACCTGAATTTAAATTGTGAGACAAGGAGGAAACTTTGTGCTCTCAAGTCTTGGCAAGGGCTGTTGTCAAAGATTGAAGTAGTTTGCAGAAAGTTTTCCTTCTGTCTAGGACGACCAGCTAAGGTATAAATTTGACTTAAATTTGGTATTTTGTCTTCACTAGGAGAGAAATACGAACAAAAATCACCAGTGGTGCCAAATTTAGCCCAGCCGAAACTCTCTTCTTGTTGCATAATTTCTTATTGGAAAAAACCCATTTTATGAGTGACAATAAATAAAATCCATGATAAATTAAATTTAAGACTAAAGTTTGTGAACAAGGAAACACTACTCCTGAAAATGACCTAGACAATTTCATCTTGCCTCGTTGATGCTTCCTAGATTGACAATTTCAAGCAGTGTCTTCAGTGTTTTCGCTAGTGTATGATGGCATCCTTACTGTGTTGGAGCAATTCTTTTTCTGGACTCATGCTTGTATTGTTCTACATGGTTGTTACGAGTAATGGTAAGTAAATATTCACCATTTATTATCTTAACGAATAGATTTACCATGTAAATAACCTCCATTTAATCAAAAGGTATACTTGAATGAGAGAAACTAGATATTCTGTAAAAATAAGGGAAAATATATTAAAAATTCCTCTTTTAAAAGTCAATACAAGTCTATACATATTACATAATACTAATCCCGATATTTTTGCGTAACGTTACTTTATACTGAGTGTGACAAAAGGAGAGAATTAATAAGTTTGAATCCTTTTGACTGTTAAAAGCTCAAAAGTCAAAGCTTGAACCAAAGTGATGTTTGCATATTGTACAATTTAAGGACGTGAAAGTCATCTTTTGAAAAGAAATATCTGAATTTTTGAGTACATTTTAACTGTTTGACAATTCGATGAATATACATTATTTATGATCGCGTAGAGCGTAGCGAGCCCACATAAGCTTGGGAGTTTTGGGCATTTAATTACGGTCAGATGAGCTTAATTTGATAACTTATTTGTGATACCGGCATAGGTCACTATATTTAAACAAAATTAAATCTTGGTTGTGGGCGAAGGGTCTCCCGCGCGGAGCGCTTAAGCATTTACGTTTCATTAAATTATTTTAGAAAGAAGACGATATTTAGTGCCGTTCTCGACTCTTAACCCTAATTGTCGGAATTTATTTGTCCGATTATGAGAGAATGCAGACGATTCGTTGTATACTGTTCTCGACTCGAATCCTTGTCTGAATTCAGTTCCCCCTTCCGCGCGAAAGCTTTGGCGTATCAATAAATATTAGGGAAAAAAGACGATTCGTTGTACCGTTCTCGACTCGTAATCCTTCTTTGAATTTAGTTTCCCCGAAAATTTTAAAACTCTGATTTCTTTAGCCGATGTTACAGGAAAGTGAAACTTCGAGAAAAACTAGTATTCTAGTTGTAGTCTCTCTCGAAGTCGTCACAGCGGATAAAGCGTCACTGTTCGTAGGGAAAAAAAACTTGTCGGCCGACCGACATTATACATCCCACCGACTTCAAACTTTTGCATTGATATATTACACGAGAATCGAGCAAGAATACCGACACAGCAACATATTTATGCGTGTCTTCCGTGCTCCCTCGACGAGACGACTCCACTGAACAACACCTCCTCTCTCAGGCTCTTACCTCCTCCTCTCTCTCCTCTCTTTCATCCCCCGATTCTTTTGTTTCGTTTTTCTCCTTTTCTTTCTTTTCTTTCTTTTCCTCCCCCTCCTCTTTTTTTTTTTCTCTTTCTTTCTTCTCTTCTCTTTCCTTTCTTTCCTTCTTTTCCTTTCTTTTCCTTTTTTTCCTTTCCTTTTCTGTTTTTCTTTTCTTTTCTTTCCCTTTCCCTCTCTATTTTCCCTTCCCCCTTTTCTCTTTTTTCCCGACGGGAAACATATTTTGAAAAGGTTACATTGGTTGCCCAAAAGGCGTAGAAGTGCAATTAATACACTTTTTGTTGTTTACAAAGCATTGAATGGTCAAGCCCCAAATTATTTGTCTACATTATTATCTTTTAAATCACATCCATGTGCACATAACTAACGAAATACACAGGACAAGCTGCGTTCTAAGGCTACCTCACACAACGACAATCTCTTGGAGATTGCGCCTTCAGTTCCACCGCTCCACAGCTTTGGAATAACCCAACACTAGACATACAAACAGACTTATCTGTTGCTATCTCAGAGTTTTTGTTGAAGACGCAATTGTTTTCTGAAAGCTTTTTAATAGATTTGTGTATTGTTTGTAAAGTATTGGTTTTAGGATTTTTGTTTTCATCACTGTGCAGTAGAGTATATTTATATAGTAGCTGTGCTTTTTATATTGTTATTATAATTGGGGCGAGCCATAATGTATGTCCGACCTACACGCTAAAGAAGTAAAGCGCAAAGTCTGCATAGCAACAGCTAAAAGGGTGAATTAAATTGCTCATTGTCGGGAAAATGAGTTTACATTTGAATACATATGGGAATATATATCGAAAATGGTTCATTCACCACGTTGACAAAACGAAAATAGACATTTGAGAGTTACAGCAAAACAAAAAAGCTCTGGGGAAAACTTGTAAATGTAGAGAAATTATTGCCAATTGGAGTATCTAGAGATAAAAGGAATATCAAATATCGATGAAATATAAATAAGTCACGTATGAGCCATTCTATTGTTGTATTTTTTGTTAGGGGGGGTGTCTTGAATATTAATGTAGTAAAGTGTTAGACATCCATTGTAGGTTAACGCATCTTTCAGTGAGCATTTCAATGAAAGATTTAGGCTAGCTTCTATGTAACTTCACATTTTTTAGCTTAGGCCCTATGGCGAAAGCTGTTTAAGATGTCTCCCCTCATTCAGGACCGGAAGTACTGTTGGTTTTCATTCTATGTTATGATATAAATTGTACTAGGGATAAATTTGTTTTAAATCAGTCTCATGAAGTTTTTATTTCATCATTCTTATCATACTTGCATGAATTACATAAATTGAGATTCAAATTTACACTCTTTGTCCTCACTGAATATTCAAATATTTCTTCCAGTTTTCTCTTTATTACCTGTAGAACGGATCCGAATTCATCCATATCTAGGCTCAGTTTGTTAATTGCTTATTTTAATATCAATGGGATTTACATTTCTCGTCATTCATGCTTGTACAGCGCATATAGAAACTTCAGTTTATTATGCGCTTTATAAATATGTTATTATTATTATTATTATTATTATTATTACATGACATATCGTCTGTTGAGAGCTGGAAGGGTGTTTTGTTGCTATGTTATGAACGTGAGTTTACGTCCTCCTGTCTCTCAACAGCAGGCGATACACGGCACCCTCTCTCACAACTCGGTTCTGAATCTGATTTGATTTTGATTTGATTAGATTTATTTATTTCTGTTTGATTTTCTTTTTCTTTTGCATTTTTACAAATATATAACAAACAAATATTGCAAATTTACACATGACAAAAGAATATATGTAGAATAAAGTAAGGCTGGGTGTTACTAATCGAGAACATCAAACAGGAGGGTTGACAAAATAAGCAAAGCTTGATAGTATGACTACCCTCAAAGGATACATAATAATACAAATATGGAGGAACAAAATATTGGTAAAAGGGGGAAAAGACAGAAAAAAGAAGAGAAAAAAAAGGGGATGCACATCAATATTCACAGGTAGTTAGATTTCAAATTGATATATAAAGATTTTAAAAAAGAAAAGAAAATGCAAATTTTAATACTAAGTGGCCAACTTGGGATACAATAGAATGAGAAGACTCGCTAGGTTCGGACAGTAAGAATGTGAAAGTAAGATCAGCCAGCTGGTTTTAAACCTGGGCCTGCGAGTCGGAGCCTTGAAATGTTTGTATAGAAGACAGTGTTTATTCAGTATCCCAAGTAGGCCACTCTTTATTCATACGTTGATTCATACCAGGTCATGGAAGGTTATAATCAACGTTTCAATGAAAGGAAGCAAAAAAAGTAAACAGTACAGAAAATTATCGAGTTTTGTAACGATGGGGTAACGAGTAGAATTTATTTTGTTGGTGGATTTAAAGATAATGAGCAATACGAAACTTTTTCACCGCTCTTTTAAAGGATAGCATTGTATTCATCGTTTTTATTCCAGGGGGTAGTGCATTCCAGGTATGAGGGCCATAATGTCTAATTGAGTTTTGAGCTAAGGCTGTTTTGGCGTTAAATAGGTGATAGTCATTGGAATGCCTGGTTGGGTAGGAATGAAAATTAAAATTATGTTGGAATAACATGACTAGTAATGGGGGAAGATTGCCGGATTTGAGCCGAAACATGAACAGAGATTTTTGCATGTAGTGTATATCACTTATTTTTAGAGTTTTTAATGTGGCAAATAAAGGGTCAGTGTGGTCGCGATATAAACCTGCATCGGTACAAACTCGAATTGCTTTTTTCTGTAACAGTAATATACGATTAGTATTAGTATCTGTGTAATGTTTTCTTTTTTAAATCCATTATTAATATAAATTTCATTATAAACTGCTCAATTTTGAAACACACATGCCCTTATAATTTATGATGTTATATACAATAATTATTAAATATTGTACTCATGAGCTTACTTTATTAGATTTGATTGTTTCTCTGACTGTGTGCATTATTTGTACAATTGTTATATATCTTTTTGTATTTGCATTTTTATTTGAAATTCAACCTCAAGTTTTGGTTGCAATAAAGAAACAATAATAATAATAATAACAAATTCTGGTTTATGTAGTCTACTGAGATGTGCATGCTATTAAATTTATCATTTATTATGTTTTTCTAGGATACATCGTAGACCTGACATTAGTGACCAATCACCCCCTCCTGGATCCTCCCGACACACGTGATCAATATATCAGCGCCTACCTGGGACAGAAAGATGCAAGCATCATAGACAATATCTCGTTTGGCCGAATTGTTCGTACATTTGATACTAAACTCCCGAACCATATCGACAACAAAAATGAAAGTCAACGTATAAGAAAGTTTATCTTCGAACAGTCTAATCAAACCTATGCAATAGGAGCATTCTACGTAGCTTTCGAATATGAAGGAACCACGCGTAATACTTCAACTGTTGTCTTGATGCATAACGGTGAGTACAAATATTGGGTACAAATCGAGAGTGTTTAAAACCAACTCCAAACCAACCGGGTCTGTAGTTGGTCTTGTATCGGTCTCGTTAGGGTTCTAGGACAATTAACCCCTGGACAATCACCCCGGCTAATTACCAACTGCACAATTACGCCCCCAAATGAAAATTACATCCGGAAAATTACCCCCCGAAGGACAACCACCCCTCAGGTGAACCACAACCAAGGACAATCAAGGACAACCAAGGACAGCCACCCCCGAGGACAATTACCTTGGACAATTACCCCCGGCCAATCGCCAACGGGACCATTACCCCCAATGACAATTACCCCCCCCCCCCCCCAAGAACAATTACCTCCTGGAATATTACCCCTAGGGCAATTACCCTCGAAGGACAACCACCCCTAAAGTAAACCACAACCAAGGACAACCACCCGAGGACAATTACCCTCTGTTCATTAAAGGGGAATTCCATCCTGATAAGAAGTTGGTTTTTACAAAAAGCAGAAACAAACAGAGAAACAGGTTAGTAATACTTTGAGCAAAATCCAATTAGAAATAGGAAAGTTAAGAATATTTGAAATTGTCATCCGTGAAACATATTTGCAAAAATTAGGTCATATTTCTCTTAAATGAAAGGAGTGGTGGAGGAAGTGATTTTATAAGAGGTAAATAAAAATTATCACAATGTCTAGTTGTCTAAATTTTTCAGGGGGCAATTATTATCGGGGGTTGTTGTCCTTGGGGTGGGGGGGTACTTCTTCCGGGGATTAAAGTGGTGTAGTTGTTCGTATACGGTCTCGTTGGTGTGACTGATGTATAATGATTGTACCTTACTTCCGTTTCTTGGAAAATATAACAGCATGCACAGCCATATGGCACCCACCATTTTGTGTTGAATTTTTGTAGATGGTAAACTCAGGGACCATATTATTGACCTCTGGACGTTCCTTAATAATTTAAGGGAGGAAAAACATACAAATAGCTCCATTCTAGAAGGAAAACATATTCCCCCTAACTGAGATTAATTTTAAGAAGATCTTTGAACTTTTAAAAATGAAATGAGGGTAATAGCAATATTATGTATTCACACTGTCCTGTTTCTTGTAATTTGTAAGGAAAAATATCTACTTGATATTGTAGGAGGACACTGAAAAATAAATCAACGGATCGAAAAAACATTTTCACAATTGTGGAAGTGATAGAGCACTGATTAAACGCCGAAAATTTGGACACGACATGCATTTTTGAGCATTTTTTAAAACTCATTTCCTGACCTGATGTAATATAACAATATTGTTTACCTTGTCTTCAGGTAGCCTCGTCAATTTTAATATCGTTCTTCCCAAGGGCCTGCAATCATATTTCTTTATTATTATTAGTATTATTATTATTATTATTATTATTATTATTATTATTATTATTATTATTATTATTATTATTATTTATTTCAACCGGGTACCCATTTAGTTCATTGTGGGGAGAGTGGCTAATGTAGGTTAATGTCTTGACAAACGAAAGTCTTGCCGTCACAGGGATTCGAATCTGTACCATGTACTTCAGTTACTTTACTACTAAACCATGACACCTTCAATATAATGATTGACTCAGATAATGGTCAAAATATATCTTGTAAGCCTGTACATACATTCAAAAGAATACCCCATTTTGATTTTTGAATTTGATGATTTATATACGCCTACTTCCAGTCCTAAAAATCAAGCGTAAATGTGCTTATGATTGGAAAAAAAAGAACACCATTCATGTCCTTACAAACTGGTACGCCTATACAGATTATACAGTCTATACAATATATCACTTTTACAGAACAAATTTTTCCCCAAAGCTGCTTCTGCACTGCATGAACATTGTTTTTCTTGCATATAATAAACCATTTACTTTGCAGCAACAATCCTGCCTGAACAGACAACATTGACTGTCCATGTCGGAGAAACTGTTACAATCGCTGTTGTCACCAACGTAACGGAAGATGACCTCCGGTGGCGGTTTAATGATGATATGAGGATACCTGACAGTAGTAGAAAGCAGAGCCTAACTTTGGAGAACGTGCAGCTAAACCAAGCTGGGGTATATAAGTGTTTTACTGGAAGACGATGGGATGCAGAAAATGCAATATTCCTTCTTCATGTCGTCAGTAAGTTGACAGCTCACTATCCGTACATGTATCTTACCCTAGATATTATCTTATTCTGAAGCACTTTTAATTTCGTTGAACTCGCGACAAAAGTACTTATAATTCTACATTATTGTTTCAGCGAAATATCAGTGAAATTAATGCGAAAGGCCCTCCAAAATGAATCTAAAATCTGTGGATTTCAGCGTATTTTCACGGCTGTTCCCATACTAACATGACATTTTTGTTTGTTATAGATTTGTTTTCCTTTTTTTGTAATCGTGCGAGGAGTGACCACTTTTTCAAAATGGTAGATTAACATTTTGAAAATGCTGGATCCAACATTATGAACCTTACATTTTGAAAGAGTAGTCACTCCTCGGCCCTTTAAAATGGTGATTTAACCTTTCAGTTTTAAGAGATGCATGTCGATACATATTGACATAAAGGTTATCTTACTTCTGATATTGTTTGATGCTGGATTTGTATCCACTTTGAAATACTAAAACTGTTTACTTCAAACAGGATGCCCAGCTCATCGTTGGGGATCTGAATGTGAACATACCTGTACTGAGTGTCTCAATGGAGGCAAGTGCGATGCAGACTCAGGAGAGTGTGTATGTCCTCCTGGTTTCAACGGGACAACATGTAAACACGGTAGGTTTCTACACTTTATTGGGTCCTCTGCGCCTTTAGTTAATACACCCCCCCCCCCTTTTTTTTTAAATATTTCTTTTTGCATGTTTTGGATTAAGCTCAATATTTTGTTGATGTGAATAAATACAATGATTTCATGTAAATTACATGCTTGAAATAAAGTTCAATCTGCAATACTCTATAATGTACGTAATGCGTATAGTGATAAAATTGACAAAGCTTTCATTAATAAAATTCAATCGATGAAACCCTGGTATAAGGAAACAGCATTATTTCGTTGGCATTTTCGTACATTTTGATCGTTCAGTACCTAAAACTCTTTTCAATATAGTTATCACGCGAATCAAAATCAACTCAATGTCGATACCGTATTACTAATCTATTGCGTAAGCTCGTTTGAATCGCTATTATGAAGGCAATTGTATCCTTATCCCTTTATTGTCACTTTATCCAAAGTCCTGGGCAGCAACCGGTTCGGGCAGGATGGCAGCTTTTCTTGTGATTCCTCAGGAGATGATCACAATCCAGGGTGTCGGGGTAAACTCTTCTGCCTACCAGACCCCTTTGGATGCACATGTGCAGCAGGATTCATGGGAATCAATTGTACAACAGGTAATTTGAGTCATGTAAATCAAATTCTGGAATCATTCATAAGCGAATATTTTAACTACGAGAGACCTCCAAAATACATCATCTTAAAAGAAAAATGTATAAAACATATTCGTTTAAAAACGGATTACTCATACATTTGCATGTTATTTTATATTTCAACAGTTCTTCACGTGTCTATTCCGGCAGATGAATTTATTTTTCATGAAAGAGGTTTTTAATCTTCAACGCTTGGCATATTTTATATTCTCTTGCGTAAATGAAGGTAACGAGAAAAGAGATGAAAGATAACAAATCAACCTTGACGCAGCTTTAATTATTAGCCCCGGCAAAAACTGAATACGAAAGACATGAGTGACGAAGAAGGTATATTTATATTTGTAGTGATGAAAGGGTTAAACCATACGATTCTCGAGCCTGAAAAAGTATGTCCCATGTGTGACCTTTCATCTCATATGATAAGAAGAAGTATTTGTCGACATAGAAATGCTTTTCAAATGACAATTAGTGTTCTTCATGACATTTCAGCACGGTTCAATTTGTTCCGCTTTTAATTTTTGGATACCTGAACTTAAAATAAGCACAAGTATATCCTGAACAATGTAATTCAATAGTAATGTTATGTGTGTATCAAGGAGCATGGTTACATATAACCATGAACTAGATACCTCTTTGAGGTGGACAGAGATTCCACAATGGGATATACTCTGCCATTCGAAACATGAGATTTGTTATCTTTTAACGAGTGGTGCTTGGGTTGAAAGTGAAAGTGTTTTAGTTTTTATTATTCTGTCATCATGAAACTGAAAACAAATATTTATATTCTTTTCCAAGGGATATTAATTCCTTTATCCGTGTTTTGAAAAGCGAAAATAAAATGACGTTTTATCGTATAGTCAAAATGGTTGTACCTGTCTTCTATAAATAAGGAAGAGCTGGAAAGCCATGGACTCTTTTCCGTAGAAAGATTTTGAAGTAGCCATTAATGTGCAAGCACGTAGCCCTTTAAAAATGTGCTCGATAAGAAGGAACGAAAACTGAATTGATAATTTTCCACATTATAAACGATGACGCTTCCTCATCCAACTTTCTGGCAAGGAGCCACAAAAATCTGTTCAACATAAGCATTTTCCTAGCCAAGTTCTGTAAAGGCACAATGTTGCATTACTAAAACAACATACATGTACAAAAGTTCTTTGCTTTAAAACCCATGTACTATAAACTTTATTGATTCTATTTAAATCCTTCAAAGCGGCCCCATTTCAATTATATAGGTATTTTTAAAAAAGCCTATTCTACAATAACAAGTAGAAACTTGCATATCAAAAATATTTAGGTACTTTATTCGAAACTGTACCGAATTTAAGAGTTTATTTAAAAATGATTGAAATCGATCTTTCTATAATTATCACTACATATATCGAACTATCAAAGACGTTCTAATGCGCTTGTGGGTGGGAGCGTATCGAGAAAAAAATACCCCGAACCAGCTGATACAAATCTACCAAGAATTCAAAACGCACCCTAGATACCTCATTGACTCATTTATTTCGGATTTGTTTGAATTCATTCTCGAAATTTGATATGAAGGCAACAATTGCATTAATGTAGGATTGGGTTCTTGGTCCTGCTCCTCAATGTGAAATTGTGATGATTAAAAAGCGCATTAGGCCTACTTTATAATGTTGTTCGTTGTCTTGTATTACTTTATCATTTCCTATGACTTTTTTAAAGAATGTAACCCAGGGACGTATGGAGCAAATTGTTTGCAAGAGTGCCACTGCTCTCCAAGTAACATCTGTACCAAGGATACAGGAGAATGCATTGACGGGACTGCGTGTCAAGAAGGCTGGACTGGTGTCAACTGCCAAGGTGATTTTTATTTTTTCCAAATTCTCAGTTTTCATAGTAATTTTTTTTTAAATTTTGATTTATTTAATATACAATATTATCACAGAATAAACATATCACAATTGACGAGCCAACATTCATTTATTGCGCTTGTCAAAGCAAGAGGTAAAGACACATAAACGCATTTTTGGATTAAACAGATTATTAGTTTAAGCTTATTTGTGGCTAGATTTGCAGTTAGTTATCGTTTGAAACGCATTCCCTGCTTTTGTCTAGTATGCTGAGTTGAACAATACAATTAGTTCTCCTATCTAGTATTAAGATTAAGATTTCCGCACATTAATTGCTAGACGAACTGCAAGTACTTCTATGATATTCTCAAGTACGGGCTCTCCAGTTAAAAACTATATTTTAAAAGCATCATATTTTGAACACTTATTGTTTTTTCCCATAGTGGTCAATTTGAACCCTGCCGTGTGTCGGCAAGATGTGTTAATTGGATGATAGGACGAGTGTATTTGTATACAATGCCTAATAGTTTCCTTCTTTATTATCGGTTTACTTTTCTTTACAGTTCGAAGTTCCCCCATTCGGGACGTTGACGGTGATACACGTAAGCTATTAAACATGGGATCATATATTAACATAAGAATAAAGGCGTGCTAAGATATGAAACAGAAAACATCAGCGCCTTGTTGTTTGTTTTATATAACGTGTAAATGAATCTCGTTTGAGAGAAACAAATATTATTAATAATACAAATAATATATATTTGTAAATACTACTTCTAATACTACTACGACTACTACTTCCCCTACTGATATTACTGATAGTGATAGTAAAACTAATAGTAAAACTAATAGGCATTTGTACTGCGCCATCTATCTATAACTTCTATTCTGAGGCGCCCTTCTATCAAACATCCGAACTTTCCCAACCTCACGTAAGGCATGTCAAGATGGTCCTGTAATATATGCTCCAGTCTACGAACTCAACGTCGCATCAGTTTCCACAGATGTCTCCAGAAACCTTTCAAACTTGAAATATTACGCATCTTATAACAGTGGCGGATCCAGCCGGCGGGAAGAGGGGGGGGGCCTAATCCGTGAGAAAATATTAGTTGCGACTCAGCCGTCGGTGAATAAGCGGGGGGGGGGGGGGTTAGGAGGCACTTTTTTTGGTCTAATTTTTCAGAAAATATTTTGCGCCGACTCAGTCAGCCGTGAATAAGCGGGGAGGGGGGGGGGGGGGGGGGGGGGGTGAGACCACTATTTTTTTTTTTTGGACCTAATTCGTGAGATTTTTTTTTTAAATTCTTTTTTTTGTTGTTGACCCGTCAGCCCCCCCCCCCCACCCGTGGATCCACGCCTGCAGAGGATCCAGCCGGCGTCAAGGGGGGGGGGTTAGCCAAATCTTAATACGAACTCAACGTCACATCAGTTTCCACAGATGTCTCCAGAAACCTTTCAAACTTGAAATATTACGCATCTTATAACAGTGGCGGATCCAGCCGGCGGGAAGAGGGGGGGGGGCCCAATCCGTGAGAAAATATTAGTTGCGACTCAGCCGTCGGTGAATAAGCGGGGGGGGGGGGGGCCGGGCCGGAGAAATCGCTACGTGGATCCGCCCCTGTCTTATAACATCACCATCATATTTGTAAATACAAGGTCTTAAAATGTTGATTGCCTCATAGAACTTTTTTTAAATTCAACTTTCTTCCAATTCTTTTTATACCCAAAACACGTCTACCTAATTTGCAAATTATAAGTTCCGTTATTTCAAACTTATTTCTAGGACCCGCAAGTGTAGGTGCCTTACAGATGTCATCTTCAACCACACAAATTGAAGTAAGCTGGGAACCGTCATCTAGTCCACTCTCCGCTGACTACTATATCATACGCTACAGTCTCTATCAGAAGCTTGCCTGCCAATCACCAGAAACCACCCCAACAGAGTTTGAAGTGAATACGAATGTCACACAATATACTAATCTAGCTGGGTTGGAGCCTTACTCGAGATACCAGATCACCGTTACAGCTGTAAATGGTGCCGGGCAGAGTGAACCCACGATCGGCTATTCGAATACCAGCCCAGGACGTGAGGAATGAACTAATAAAGCCAGTGTGTCTCGGTCAAATATAAATACTTTTAGCATGCGTGATCAAGAAAACGCGTATAGATGGATTTTTTTAAAATAAATTTATTGGGGTTCATAAAAGTCCGCTTTGGGCCATTTTCAAAACAAAAATGGTACTTTTTCACAATGGTTAAAAAATCCTACTGTACGCGCCCGGTATACGCGTTTAGGGGTATATTTCTAGCCCTCAGGGCCAGACTGGGGGGAAAGGGGGTAATCATAATTAGCGAGACTATACTACCAGCCGCCGCCTACGACCGCCGTTCTTTAGTTCTTCACTGGAACAGTTGGATGCCCACTAAACCGACCTAGGTCCAGAGGCGGCCCTCCTGGGGGGGGGCACAGTGCCCCCACTTTTTCAAGCACCCGTAAAGTGCCCCTTGTTTCATTGGAAAAGTGCTCCTTTAACTTTTTAAGCAGTGCTTCTTTTTCATAGGAATAGTGCCCATTTTACTTTGACAAGTACCCCTTTTAATTTGAAAAAGTGCCCCTTCCCCTTTTCAACTCTAATAAGTGCCCCTTTCATTTGGACACGTGCCCATTTTCCTTCGACAAGTTCCCATTTTCCTTTGCAAGAAGTGTCCTTTTTCCATTCTCATAAGTGCCCTTTCAATCTCTAGTAAGTGCCCCTAGTAAGGTACGAATAGTGCCTTTTTTCACCTTTGATAAGTACCCCTTCACCTCTGATAATTGTCCTATTTCAATCTGATAGGTGCCTTTTTTACTTTGACAAATGCCCCTTTCCTTTTTAAGAAGTGCCTCTCCCCCTTTTAATAACTACCCTAATTTTAACTCGGATAAGCGCACCTTATATTTTCACATGTGCTCTTTTCTCTTTCTAATAAGTGCCCCTTTTCCTAATGAAAAGCGCCCTATTATAAAAGAGCCCCTTCCCCTTCTCATAAGTGCCCCTTCTCTGATAAATGACCATCTTCAGGTAGAAGAAGTTACTCCTTTTTACTTCAGATAAGTGCCCCCTTTACCTCCGAAAAATGCCCCTTTAAAATCTGATCGGTGCTCATTTTCTTTCAACCAATTTTCCTTTATTACAAATGCCCCTTTTCAAGTGCGATAAGTGCCTCTTTTCACCTCTAGAAATTTCCCTTTTAACAATAATACGTGCCCCTTTTCCTTTCTAATAAGGGACCTATCCCCTGTTCATAAATGCCCCTTTTCACCTCTTATAAATGCCGCTCTCAAGATCTGATGGAGACCCCTTTTCCGTCGACAAATGCCCATTTCCAATTCTCATGACTAACTGTTTTTCTTCATCCCTGGTGATTGCCTCCTTTTGAGGGTGTAAGAAGTGCCCCATTTTCACCTCTGATATTGACTCTTTGTACTTTTGCACATGTCCCCTTTTCCTCTCATCATTAAACACGCCCTAACTAATGTCAAGCAGCTAAGAGCAATTTCCCCCAAAGCTCACTCGCTACGCTCTCACGCATCTATAGATGATATACGTTTTCTTATTGCCCCCCCCCCCACTTTGGAAGTCGCTTGGCCGCCCCTGCCTAGGTCTACCAGTCTCACGCCTATAGCTGGTCCCTTATGTTTTATTTTGCATAGTAGAATAGTAATTTTTCATTGTACATTGTGTACTTTTTGTAAACACTACATCTACTTTACACAAAATAGATCAACTTTGTAATGTAATTATTTTTTTCTTCCAAGAATGGACTTATGGTTGCTGCGCTTAAACTCATTTAGAAGTTTACAGGTTGATGTTTTTGCTTCTCTATTGAAATACATTTTTACATTGTGAATTTTACATCAGAAGTGCAATTTGATTGATTTTACATTGTTCAACAACTTAAATGGGAATCCCTATTGCACTTCAAAATTCTCGAGGGGTTACAATTTTAAAACGCTTGTTTAGGAGTATACACTTTTTCAAAAAAACCCGTTTAAGGTGTGAATTCGGGGAAAAACCCCGCGAAATCCTCATTTAGGGTGTATTTTGGCTTCAGAAGAAATCCTCGTTTAGGTTTTTTTTGAAAAACCTGTGATCACGCATGATTGCAGTCAGTGGCGTACGCAGGATTGTTTCAAGGGGGAGGGGGGGGGGGTTTTAATCGGGCTCAAAATTTCGCAACGACTCAGCCAGCCACTGAATAAGCGGGGGGGGGGGGGGGGGTAAGAGGACATTTTTTTTTTTTTTGGAGTTCCAAAAAAATTGCAACGACTCAGCCAGCCGCTGAATAAGCGGGAGGCCGGGGGGGGGGGGGGGGTAAGAGGACACTTTTTTTTTTAAATTAAGAAAAAAAATCAAAAGGGGAGGGGGTTCCCAAAAAACATACACAAAACATACTCATAAAAAAATAATCAAGGGAGGGGGGGTTAACCCCCTCTCCTGCGTAAGCGCCTGATTGCAGTATTATTACATGACTAATACCCCCGGGCTAAAAAGCAATACATCCTTTCCCCATAATAGTTTACAAGGTGATATATTTTGTTATCCGTGTTGATATTATTAATATTGGACATATTATACAGAAACAAAGTTGTTATTGGTCCAGAGCTCGTCACGTGGTATCGATTGCGGGGATCGTAATAATGATATATCACCCCCGGTCATGAAAATATAACCCCTTTAGGAGATATAACTCCCTTCGGTAGTCCGAAAATGTTACATCAAACACCTTACCAGTCAAATCTGTATTACATTCCCTGCATATAAAATACGCATTGATTAAAAAATATAATTTTCAAGAATTTTGCTTTACTTAAATTATGAATGTTACCATTTGGTTGTGATGTATATTTCCTTCACCCTTCACACTTGCCTTACTATATACTTTATCGAATAACACGTCAAGTTTGAACAGATTTAGGTACGTTCTCTTATATTTCTGATTCACTTCAGCACCGTCCAACATTACAAATGTCAGGGTTAACCCAGAAAGGACGTCTCCAACACGATTAGGATTCACCTGGCAACCTCTCAACTGTAGAAATGTGAATGGAGTGTTCTCGTACTACTATGCAAGAATCTACAAGGATGGTGATAGAATTAATGCACCGGCTGGGACTACATACTTGGATGATGACATGTCATACTCATCAGTAGAGTTCAATGGTCTTGAGGCATGCACGATGTATGAACTGAGAATCAACGCCGTAAACCGTGGTGTGGGAGCTCTTGGAAATCCGTCTCATGCTATCGGTGTAACGGGAGTCACTTGTAAGTCTCAAAAAGTACAAATATAATACTTTTTAGAATCACCCTCGTGATGTCAACTTGCCCTGCTTTGTGAATGAATTCCAATTATATGAACCTCGTTCCAAAACTGTGTATTTGAATAATAGTTGTGGAAGAGATCCACATTTCTATAATGATACTAAGGTTTCATTGGATATATATGCCCATATACGTGTACAAAATCACATTGCAAATTCAAAGATCATGTCTTTGCGACATTAAAATATTTTCATATAGGTATTACAATATTCTCCCCGTTACAAAGTGTCGTTTTTACATTTTTTAATTTTCCTTCAATCTCAATCATTAAGTTTTGCTGGAGAAACGACTTCATATTTTATTATTTTACCCATTTTCGAGGAATTGTCATAAATAGTTTCAAACATAAAAATATTAGTACGGGACGGGGACTCTTAACTGAATATGTAAGCCTCTTTCTATTAAATATTTAGATAGGTAATGCATTATTATCGTATTAATGATTATTATAATTATATGCGGTTCAGATATGGACCCTGTATCGATAAGAGAGCTAACAATTATCATAAAAGTAAAAGGTTCAAGGTAAAAAGGATAACAAAATAGAAACATATCAAATCTTTTCCTGGATCACGCTTTGTTCACCGCAATTTGACGCTTAAGGTGCTCCAATACATAACCTAGCCATAGACAGGATTCCAATATCTATGCTCACTGCAATCAACCGATATCCTCTATGTTGGATAAAGGTTATTAATTTTTGTTGTCTTTAAAACAGAAATAGATGAAAACATGTTCAATCTTTACACAAGTAAAAATTAATATATTTAGCGTCATCTTTGGCTACAGAGAAAATTAAACTCGGAAGTCTACGAAAATGTAAAAAGATGGAGAGGCACGACTAGCAGGCGGCTCTCTGTGTTATGGTTATTGGTTGGTGTAATGTTACCCTTCTAGAATAAAAGCCGCCCTCCTGAGATGTACGATATTTCGCAAGATTAAAAATGTACATTATCCTCTCTTTTTGTGTTGAATAAAGTCACAAGTGCATCCTCTTATGCAACTGGGAATCAACCTAGTCTGACAGTTCAGTGGAGTGTTCCGTCTCAATGCAATGTGGATTACTACAGGGTATCATATCAACTCATCTCACGTAAGGCATGTCAAGATGTTCCTGTAATAGATGCCCCAGTCCTCGAACTTAACGTCACATCAAATACCACACATGTCTCCGAATACCTTTCAGACTTGGAATATTACGCAACTTATAGCATTTCCATCATAGCTGTGATAAGGAGAGCAGAGAGCCTACCTATGAATGTTAGTGGAGACACACGAGATGGAGGTATGTATCGTAAACAATTATGTTAATATTAGAGCGTTGGCGTATCTATGAGGAGGAAGAGGCACTTGCTCTGTGTGGCACTTGAAGGGACAGCACAACACGCAAAAGAGAAAGAGAAAGGGTATAAAGAGAAGATAAATATCATTATGATATAAAGTCTAAATTTGCATAGCAATTTTCATTAGAAATATTTTTCGTATTAAGGTTTCAAATGCAAAAGTTTTTAAAGCTTGGTCGCCTTGCTCATCGCGTATGTTCCTTCAGGTCCCGAATTTTCGCACCCCAGTATAATATTTTTAGAAGTTTTTATATAGTATTCTCTAAAGGTTCAAGATTTATTGTAATGCAAATTATCATCAGCCTTGTTTAAATATAAGACAAAGGGCAAATGCAAAACCATTTAAAGTGATTTGTAATTATTAACATTTGAAAGAAATATTGTCACTTTCCGTAATGATTAATTACATCCGATTTCCTGTTTTCTATTTCTGCTTTGGATTTATATCTACTTACATTTGCTATGTTATTAATTGACTATTCAACACTGTGATTTTCTTCACAGACCCCTCTGCTATCGAGTCAGTGTCTTACACCTCTACTGCCCACTCCTTGCGCTTTGTGTGGGAGGAACCCTCCTGCGAAAGCCTACACGGTGCTTTTGATCGCTACGAATACGATCTCTATGATCCTACTGGTGGGGGTAGATATGTCCGGTATCCAACGATCATCCGAAGAAACAATGTACACATAACTGGTCTTGATGCTTGCACGGAATATCGCTTCAGAATAAGAGTAGTTACTACCCAACAGAGAAGGAGTGAATGGCATATGGAAATGGCAATGACTAATATATCAGGTTTGCGAAATTAGATATAGGCCTAGCGCAAAGAGACATACTGTGATATGAGGCATATTATTATTTTATTGGTTATAAATACATGAATTATGCAATTTTTTCCGTTGTACACATTGCAATAAAGGCGATTAAAGAGTAATTGTTTATAATATATAGTATGGGGGAACTGTATGTTTCAATTCCAATTTATATCGGTTTTGATACAGGCCATCTGTTGATGTTGCTCCAGGATAGGTAAATAGCTTTTACTGCTGTAAAGGCTTATAAAAAAAATACAAATCTAACATAAATTAGAAAAAATAAATTAATTGGAGTCAATACTATCATATTTCAGATATAGGGGTGTATGCATTCATTCCAAGTGGGAGAAACCTTTATTGTCTAATTCATCTCCTGTGTGCGCATCTGGTTCCAGGTACAGATAGTTATCATCGTTGAAATCTATACATATGCTTAAGATAGAGATTAGATTTAGTGTAATCACAGTGTAATCAATTAATTATTGGGAACCTGAATTCGCTCGAATAAAGTGTTTATTTCTTTCTTTCTGTACACTTATCAGCTCCTGGAATGCCAGTTATTACAGAGCTTACCCCGCATCAGGAAGACGGTGGCACTACTGGTCTAACAGTATCATGGCAACCTCCTTCCTCACCTCCATGCCAGCCTACACATTATGAAATCAAATACTATGTTCTCCAAGGCGATATGTGTGAGGATACCTCGAGTGATCGTATAATGATTTCAGCAGGGACCGTCAATGGTTCAACTTTCACCTTCAATGTCCTGGAGTTGCGTCCCAACTCTGAGTACAGGGTGTTCGTGAGAGGCAGAACCAGTAGCGGTTATGGTGATGCGGATTCCCTATCAGCTACTACAGGATATTCACGTTAGTATTGTCTGTGGGTGTTTGTGTGTGTGTGTGTGTGTGTGTGTGGACCTTGCAAAATATCATTGGAGAATATGTTATATGAAATGAGCTGGCCTGAAAGTTCAGTTTGGAGAAACGAAAAACAAAGATTTATGAAAAATGTATACTACAGGCATGGAGATAATAGAGAATGGTTAATAAGAAAAAGAAAAATATTACGAACTCACTGAAAATGTAGATTAACTAATAGTATTAAGATATAGATGAAGTAAAAGTTGAAGACTAAGAAAAATGAATGAGAATGATTTTTCTTCCTTTATTTTACAGATCCTACTGGTCCTTCAATCAATATTCAGTCCACTTCCATCAAGAAACGTAGTGTTGTCTTCACTTGGGAGAAACCAGAATGTGGTGATCGGAATGGACCAATCTCAAGCTACGAAGTTATGCTTTCCAATTATACAGGTAACCTAAATAGGAAAGAGGAAATGAATGCCTGGTCGAGTACTAAATCACGTGAAGTCTAAGAGATTGCTTGTTTGAAAGTAAAGTTTAAAATTTAAAAAAAAATTATCTGCCCTTGTCATCATCCCTGATGGTGCTTATACAGTTCATTAAATCCATATAAATTGTACTAATTTCGTGTGTGAGAATGATTAGGGATATCTCCATCTACACAATTTCAAAGTAAAACGTTGACAGGATGGATCTACGTAGCTGACTTGCTTGCTGATTCTAAATAAAAAATATGTTATAGTGTCATATTTCTGCGTAAAAACTTAACCGCTTTTTTTCTTCCTCTAGTAGATGAAATTGATAGATTCGACGAATAATTTTGCCGCTTATAACACTGAATAGATAAATATTTTTGTTGAGTATAAGCGACAATCAATTTTTTTTTTGCAATTATTTTTTTTAATGAACGGATAGGTCATTTTTCGGAATAATATTTTGCCATTTAAAAGCATTAAACAATTATGCCCTCCGTTTTAATTGATATATCTAGGATTTTCTGGATGCAGAATCTCGACCGCTGATGAATTATGGTCAGTACTGAAGTATTACTGCAAATTAGAGGGTGTATTGGTCAGTGATGTGTGTATAAAAAAGTAAGAACAAATATTGACTAAAGTTCAAACATTGATTAAAGAATCACAACCATTAAAGGAAAATAAGATATAGTGTTTTTCTTCTGATTTAGTCCTTCAATCATACATGTAGAAAAATTTGCGCAGCATTTCCATTGTTCCATTCCACGGCCTCATTGCGAGATTTCCTTAAACAATCAGTCAAGCTATGTCTTCGATGTACTAGCTATCAGGCGTGGATCCAGGGGTGGGGGGGGGGGTGGACGAAAAAGAAAAAAGAAAAAAGGGAATTTAGTTTTAACAAAAAGAAAACAAAAAAGTTCTCTCGAATTGCGAAAAATTTGTTATTAGTGCTTTAACCCCCCCCCCCCCCACCAGCTTGCTGATTCAACGCTGAATTAATCCTCCAAAATTGGATCCCCCCAAAAAAGTACCTCTTACCCCCCCCCCCCCCCCCCCCCCCCCCTCCCCCTCCTTCCCCTTAGTCACCGGCTGGCTGAGACGGCGCAAATATTTCCTCAAAAGTTGGACCAAAAAAAATTGTTATGCAATGACCTTTATCTGCTCATGCTCAGACTGCAACCGTGAACTGGCTTTTAAAGCGCTAGTTACTTTGGCGGCTCGGCTATAAGCAGGATAATAATGTCTAAAGGCCATGAGCGTCAAAAGAGCACTTTATGAGAAGCCATTATTATTAATTTTTTTATTTCTGTCGTTCATTTCCAGGAGGCGTGGTTTATCATGGTAATGTTTCGGGACCTGAGCACAATATATTTGGCCTCATCCCCTATTCGAATTACAGCATTAGGATCAGAGCTTGGAATTATGAACTAGCAGGGGAGTATGGTCCAGCGATTTGGGCACAGACAGATGAAGCAAGTAGGTCTCAAAATGCATGTATTTTAGTTCTTTTTTGAGAACGATGAAGAAGAAAAAATAGCGTTAGACAAAAATTGTATCTTTTCAAATGTAGCTGTTCTTTAACAATGTCAACCGTGTATCTATCATTTCCAGTCAATAGGATTTTTTTCTATTGATACTAACCGACAGAAAACGAAACAAGATATTATTTTATACTACTCCCAATGTGTGATAGACCATTAAGTTGTTTAGACCATAATTATCCTACGACTTGTCTCCATGATGTGTACATTACAGAGCCAGCGCCACCAATCAGAGTAAATCTGCCATCTTCCGACCAGGAGAGCATCACAGTAGACTGGATGTCACCGAACCCTCCTCTGGGCAGGATAATAGGTTACTACATTAAATACTGGGAGACGTTTGGTAATAGTTCCACGCCCACAAACGTCAGCATCCCGTGTCGGGACGGGCTTTGCTCTGACATTAACTACAGGTTGTCCACAGCTATTCCCGAACTCCAGGCAGACACGAATTATTCCGTTCAGGCAAGTGTGATTCGTGAAGACGTTTTCTAAAGGGATTCTATACATTGAAAATGGGATATAAAAATACTTGTTCATAATATTGTGCTAACGGACCCAAGGTTTAAATTAGTAACCATCCGTAAAAAGAGTTTCTGTCGACAATTTCTGCAGATATGGCATCTTCACTCTCGCGTTTAGCTAAGATAACTAAAAGATGTAGATTTTTACGATATGTTTGTTGTAAGACAGCTCATTATAGAATTTACGGGATGACATTCAATGGATGACGCGGGACAAAACCAGAAGAAGCAATCTGTAGGTTTCCTGATTTTTGTAATGAAATAATAATAATTAAAAAAATATGTGTGTGGTGAAGAGTTTTTTTTACACCATCTTGATATCTATATTCTTTCTGATGAAACGCTCTTATAATAAACCAGTCATGCTAAATGGAAAAAATGTCAGGAGGTCCATAACCTTTCAGATCATCTATTCGAGATCAATCTCTAAATTTCCTTAAATTGTTCTAATCTGTAAGTAATTTCCCGCTGTAAATCTCCCTTTTCTATAACCATGTTTTTCTTTCACTATACAGGTCATGGCGGAGACCATTCGTGGTATTGGTGACTCAAGCCCGGACCCACCCGTTGTCAGGATTACATCAAAAGGAAGTATGATATTTATCTTCTCATTTCTATAATTTCCCATGTAGATCAAAGTAATTATTGTAGAAATATACTCTTTTTTATTATCAAAACAGGGTCAACCTTAATATAAGGATTATGTTTCCTTTCAGGTTGCAACCTATTCAGTATATTTTATATCCTTGTCCAATATGTTCTTAATATGTATATAGCTGATAGTTATATGAAATGTTGTCTGAATGAAATTGAATGTACATAATGTAAGTATACATTAGTTTCAGATAAATGTAGATGTTATCCCATAACCCCAGAGGGATATCAAGTGTTATGTTAGGTGTATGCAAGGAATGACTGCATTGCTCCCAAAACACATGATGATGCATCCTATCACCAAGTGATAAGAAAGTGATCAATAATGTAATATTGAAAATCCTTCCGCCAGATCTGAAACTTAACCTTCCATTCAAATGAAAAAATCTACAGTAGATACATATGCATATAACATCAAAGCAGGATTTAGAAACAAGGACGAGTTAGGGATCTCTCAGTTCAGAAATATCGTCAGTGAGCACGTCTTTGATACGTAAAAATATTGAGCTGTACAATAATAACGCTCTCGCTGTAATACATTTAAAATACCTTGTATTCGCTTATTCATTATGGCAAGTTAGTCTGTTTTCTACTCCCTCTTTATCCTTGACAGATCAACACAAAAAAAAACAACAGATTATCACTACCCTAAAAGTGTAATGTTCATCATTTAGTCATTAACTTTTGAGAACACATATCTGTGATGCAAGGAAATTTCAGGAGTACATGGTAGTCAAATGTGGTCTAAATTCCATCATTACTGGTATGTTTTAACATACCTTCATTTTGCTATACCCAAAACACATCTTCCGTTTACATGTATATTAAAACCTATTTCTAGGACCCGCATGTGTACAGGCCCTAAGGATATCTTCTTCAATCACGACAGTTGTAGTCAGCTGGGAACTGTCATCTAGCCTATGCTCCCCTGACTACTATATCATACGCTACAGTCTCCTTCAAAAGCTTGCCTGCCAATCACCAGAAACCACCCAAACAGAGTTTGAAGTGAACACCAATGTCACGCAATACAATAAGCTAGTGGGGTTGGAGCCTTACTCGCGATACAAGATCACCGTTACAGCTGTGAATGGTGCCGGGCAGAGTGAACCCACGATCGGCTATTCAGAAACCAGGCCAGGACGTGAGTAATGAACTAATAAGCAAAATATCCTTATATATAAACAGTTTAAAGAAATTTACTAGTTGATATATTTCGTTATCCGTGTTGTAGGGATATTAGGTATCTCTTACAAAAACAAAGTTGTGATTGGTCCAAAGCTCGTCACGTGATGTCGATTGCGAGGATCGTAATCAAAATAATTGATATCACTCGCGGTCAGCAAAGGAGTATTTTTCACTCGCCAATTCCCCTCAGCGCTGCACGAATTTCTGAAAATACAACCTCTTAGAAAAATATAGCTCCATTCAGTAGTCTAAACACCCTACCAGTCGATATATCTATTAGATTCTCTGCATATAACATCGCATTGGTGTAATAATATCAATTTAAAGACTTTTACTGTATTTAAAGTATGAATGGTACAGTTTGATTGCCATGTATATTCCCTTCACCCTTCACGCTAGCAATACTACCCAAGCGAATAACACGTCAAGTTTGCACGGATTTAGGTACGTTCTCTTATATTTCTGATTAAATTTAGCACCGTCCAACATTACAAATGTCAGGGTTAATCCAGAAAGGACGTCTCCAACACGATTAGGATTCACATGGCAACCTCTTAACTGTAGAAATGTGAATGGAGTGTTCTGGTACTACTATCCAAGAATCTACAAGGATGGTGATAGAAGTAATCTACCGGCTGGGAGGGAATACTTGGATGATGACATTTCAGACTCATCAGTAGAGTTCAATGGTCTTGAGGCATGCACGATGTATGAACTGAGTATCCATGCCGGCAACCGTGACGTGTCAACTCCTGGAAATTTGTCTAATGCCATCGGTGTAACAGGAGCTACTTGTAAGTGTTTTAAAAAAGTGTACCAAGAAAATAGTCTTTAAGAATCACCTTCGGAATGTCACATTGCCCTGTTTTGCGAACGTATTCCAATTATTTCGTTCCAAAACTACGTAGTTAAATCATAATTGTGGGATAGATCCACATTCATATAGTGATACCTAGGTTTAATTATCTTTATTTCCATATACATGTACGACATAATATTGCACAAACAAGGATCATGTCTTTGAGATATTTAAGGGTTTGCAGGTAGAGATTACTAAATTTTTCCCATTACAAAGTGTCGTTTTTACGATGTTTACCGATATATTTTAGCATTTTACCTGTTTTCTAGGAATTTTCATAAATAATAGTAATAGTACGGGGCGGGGATTCTCAACTGAATATGTTCGCCTCTTTTAATTAAATATTTAAATACGTCTGCATTATAATTGTTTTGAAAATTGTTATAATCAACTGTGGTTCAGATATTGAACCTGTATTGATTAGGGAGCGTACAGTTATCATAAGAAAGGGTCCAGGTAAAATGATATGAAAATAAAAACGGATAAAAGCTGTTTCTTGTATCACGGTTTGTCCACCGCATTATGATGCTTACGGCGCTCCATTTAATACATAACCGAGCTTTGGGCAGGCTTCCAATTCTTATGCTCACTACAATCAAGGAAACCCTTGTCTATCTAATTATTTTAAATTCTTTAACTCTTAAAAAAAATGATTAAATGTTTACAGAGGTAGAAATTTAATTCAGCTTCATCTTTGACTACAGAAAAATATGTAATTCTATGGAGTTGCACGACTTACAGACGGTTCTCTAGCTTGTGGTTACTGGATGGTGTAATGTTACCCTTCTAGAATATAAATTGCTCTTCAGAGATTTACTGCATTTCGCAAGATTAACAATTTATACATTTATCTCCATTTGTGTTTTATAAATTTAGTCACAAGTGCATCCGCTTATGCAACCGGGAATCAACTAAGAGTTCATTGGAGTGTTCCGTCTCAATGCAATGTGGAGTACTACAGATTATCATATCAACTCATCTCACGTAAGGCATGTCACGATGTTCCTATAATAGATGCTCCAGTCTACGAACTCAACGTCACATCAGTTTCCACAGATGTCACCAAATACATTTCGAACTTGGAATATTACGCCACTTATAACATCTCCATCATAGCTGTGATAATGAGAGCAGAGAGTCTACCTATGAATATTAGTGAAGACACATTGGCTGGAGGTATATAAACAATTATGCTATTAAAAACATGTAATAGCGATGGCGTATCTACGGTGGCGGCGGGACAGAGGGGGACGTGCTCCGAACGGCAATTGAAGGGAGCGAAAATATATACGCAAAAGAAAGTTGGGGGAAAAACGCAAAGAGAAAACTAAAACGAAAAAATTGACAAATATATAATTATGATATGAACTCTCAATTTGCAGAATAATTAGCATTATAAATGATTTTGTTATAAAGGTTTTATATGCGAAAGTTTATAACGCTTTGACGCTGGCTCATCGCATGTGTTTCTTTAGGATCCTGAAATTTCGCGCCCCACTATAAAAGTTTTGTATACAGTATTCTATCAATGGTTCAAGACTTATTTAAATGCTAAGCCTTTGCTTGCTCCCTATTTTGTAACTATCATCAGCTTCTTGTTATATATAAGACAAAAGACAGATGCAAAACCGTATAAAGTTATTTTTAATTGTTCAACAATTGAAAGAAGTCTTAATTTTCCGTTTTTATTTGTTTGCCCCGGGCACCATAAACAGTAGAAATGCCACAGAACACGAGATTTTGTACTGATTTTGATTTACATGACAAGCAATCCCATTTAATATAACACGCATAAAAACATTAAATTTGTCTGGGGATACGTCTACCCTGAACAGTTACGAATATAAAGAAAAAGATTACGAGCTCACTGAACATGAAGATTAGGTGATAGTAAACAAAAATTATATAAATGAGGTAAAAATTGAAAATTAAGAAAAATCAATGAGAAGGAACTTTCCCCTTTATTTTACAGATCCTACTGGTTTCCCTACTAATATCCAGTCTACTTCCACCAATAAACGCAGTATTGTGTTTACTTGGGAGACACCAGATTGTGGTAATCGAAATGGACCAATCTCAAGCTACGAAGTTATGCTCTCCAATTCTACAGGTAACGTATTACAACCTAAAGACGGAAGAGGGAATAAAAACCTCATGGACGAGTACTAAAAGAGGTGGAATCTTAAAGCCCCCATCACACCAAACTAGTTCTCACTACGTTCTCGAAAGCCAAACGGGCTCAAACTGTGTGCGAACGGAGTTGAACGTAATAGCAACTGTTTGCGACCTGTCTAAGGACTTTATGGACTTTTTATAACTCTCGAGTCAGGACGGGATTGCACACGCTATAGGAGCGCGTTCAAACGCACTCAGAACGAGATGAGGAAGAGTTGAACTGCTTCTGGACGGGGTGGTCGGGTTAAAAACTAGTTAGAACAAGTGGCGAACTAGTTAGAATGAGTTCGGACGTATTGGGAACGAGTTAGAACTAGTTAATAATGGGTTTAAACTGACTACGGACTGGCTTGGACTGCCTAATCTACCCGATCTGAACTTAACATGAACTGTCTGTGGACGGGGAACAAACGAGATGAACGTATTAAGGACTGTTTACGAACGAACTATAGAGGAGTGTATTATAGACATTTTGTTCACATTCTGCCCCGACCACAACCCGTTTATGACTTTCTAGGACGGTTACAGAACGTAGTGAGAACTAGTTTGGTGTGATGGGGGCTTAAAGATTGCTTGTTTGAAAGAAAAGTAAAAGAGAAGAAAATACTTTCTGCCCTTGGCCTTGGCATCATCCCTGGTGGTACTTCTACAAATCATTTTGTGATCGATATAAATTGTACTTATTTAGTGTGGGAGAATGATGAGGGATAACTTTATCTATAAATAACGAGGTAAAGCTTTGACAATATGGAACACGTAGCTGCCTCGCTTGCTGTTACTGAAAGAAAATATTTTCGAATATATTTATTTGTAAAAAAATGAACCTGTTGTTTTTTCCTAATGAGATTAATAAATTAAACGGAGAAGTATACAGCTTATAAAATTGAATAAATAACTATATTTGTATTAATTATAAGTGCCTATCAATTCATTTTTCATTTTTCATGGGAATGAGCGGATAAGGTCATATTACATGCAGACTACTACTTTTCCATTTATTCTTTATTGTATCTAGGATTTTCTGAACGCAGAATCTCGATGAATAATGAATTCTAGTCGGTACTCAAGTATTGCTGTAAACTAGAGGTTGTATTTGTCAGTGATGTGTTGATAGAAAAAAGGAGAGACAAAATACTAACTAAAGTTCAAACATTGATCACATCATCACGACCGGCAAAGACAAATAAGATGTAGTGTTTGTGTTGGTAACAATGTATAAGGGCCATGAGCGTCACTGTGTGATGGATATGAGCGCTTTATTAGAAACCGTTATCATTATTCCTGTTGTTCATTTCCAGGAGACGTGGTTTATCATGGTAATGTGTCAGCTAGCGCAGAACCTGAGCATGAGATATTTGAACTCATACCCTCTTCGAATTACAGCATTAGGATCAGAGCTTGGAACTATGAACTAGCAGGGGAGTATGGTCCAGCGATTTGGGTACAGACAAATTAAGCAAGTATGTCTCAACATGCGTTTCTTCTAGTTTTATTGATAGCGATGAACTATAAACAATTTGTGCGTAAAGGACGAAAATTACATTTTCTAAATCCAGATATAAAACTCCGATATGAATATTATTGTGCTCAAAATCGAACATTTAGTTTATATCATCTACAGGAACTAATGATTTGTGAACATGTACTTGTACAATTCTTTAATGTTTTTGTTGTTAAATATTTAACCTGTTTTCACCCCCTTCCCCAACGGAAATAACAAGATCATAGAGGAATGATTTTGTTTAAATAAATTGATCCCTAATTAAGTATTTATTTCCAGATTATCAACCCAGAACCCACCAACAACCCACCAACATCGTTGACATCCTTGTCATGTAGTCCAGAGATACCTACGATAATGATGATCAGGGATTTGTCCGAAGCATTATGGGCCATGACCTGCATGGTGGTAATAATGCGGACTGTAATGATGATTAGGCTTGTTGCATTCACATTCACATCGATTGGAGACATTGAACTGGGGCTCACATTGCAATTAATTTTGAGGATTTACTCAAACCCTGGAGTCTCAATCTATAACACATGGATAAATAGCATTCACAATTGGGAGACATTGATAAAAAGGAGTCGGGCTAACTCGGACCGGAAAGGTTTAGGGTTAGAGTTAGGTTTAGAGTTAGGGTTATGGTAAGGGTAAAATGACCAACAACAACAATTTTTTTTTAATTTTTTTTTTTAATCAGTTTTTGCAGCGCGGACGCGTTGTACCCAGGTCCGAGTAAGCCCTGATCCGATAAAAACTACATACTGGACCCTTTTATGCAGTACATACTCGTACAACTCGAAAGTAACAGGGGTACAGTTTGTGACCAAATAATGCTGACCAAAGAATGAGATGCTTAATGCTCGATATCTAAATATATGATTGATATATGATACCAGGTTTTGATAGAGACCATCGTTTATACCCTGTACATACATGTAAATGTAGAGTACCTTACACAAGTGAGTACTTCCTACACAAGAAATTCAGTATTTCAATGCAGCTTTTTACCTAGGTTGGTCTATTTGCTTAGAAAAACTACATTGTATTGTAGCCGTTGAACACTTCACAGAATATTGACTTAAAGCGGGATTGCATTACTTGTAGCTACACGCGCCCTCTATATAGCAAACAATGCCTTAGCGGTACCCATTAGCCCCCTATGATCCCCTTTTTCTTATATTAATTGAGAGCTGATTTAATGAGATAACAACCTGCCAGTGACCATGCAAGGATGTCTAATCCATCCTGGCCAAAATAGTCCAGATAGGCTTTAAGTCTGCATGCAAAGGGGTGGCAGCACATTGGCTGTGTGTCAGAACAGTGTCGCGTAAACGGGAGGTCCTGGGTTTAACACCAAGTCGATGTGCAGGTGTCCATGTAGTAAGGCATTAATTCTCATCACCAAGTCCCTCAGAGAGCACTTGAATATGTTTGTATCCTTGTTCCTTAGATACAAGCATACACATGCCTTCTTATCGGTGAAGAAAAACATTTACTCAAATCAAACCAGGGTAATATTTCCTTCTGTGGAGTACTTTTAGTGCAACACTGGGACAACCTCACTTCAGTTATTTATCCAGTAGTATTTATCTCAACCTTCTCAATAATTTATTTTTTCACATTCTATATTGGCTGCGTATAGTTTTAAAACTATTTTCAGTTTGGTTTTCCTTTTTATAATACAACTTATATATTTCATAAAGGAATTTTTTTGCAAAAACACTTTTTGATAAAATCTTTTGTGTTCTGTGGTTGTATGATTATTGTTGGTGTTATTTTTTAAACTTTCTTTTTAACCTTAATAACCTGTGTTTACAATGAACTGACATTGTTACATTTAGAGAAGAATGGTCTGTTTGGAGCAGAAAGGGAATTGATGCTGTATTGTATTGTATTGTATTATTTATTCGGCACTTTCAAGAAATATAACATTAAAACAATATAATCATGGTAAATACAAAATTGGAATGACAAAAACTGTGCAAATACAAATTTTTGTAGCAATATTCTGAGTGCAAAAGATGGCGGCCAGGGAAGAAGAGAGCAAACTTAATTACTGTAACCGTAAAGGTCCCTCCTCCCAACCAACTGATGCACTCAGAAGACTGGTAAAAATATAGCATAAGGACAACCTGTATAACCTGTATAACCTGTATAACCTGTATAACCTGTATAACCTGTATAACCTGTATAACCTGGTATGAGTTAATTCCTTTCGGGCTCCAAACAGACAGAAAATTTGATGTTTATACCAGATTTGTGAACATTTTCATTTATTTTCCACTAGACCTTCTCATTCTGAATGGAAATAAGTTTCACTTTCAATATGATAAATATTTGTTTTCATTAAGATTTTATTTCTACATTAACTGCATATGAAAAGAATGTACAAAGTAACAAAACATATAAATATATTCGATAAATAGGTGGTATTAAACAATAAAAACGATGTTATGCATATCATTGAATACAAAGGATGCTTACTTAATCTACAATAATGAGGGGAAAACCTTGAAAGCATTATGCTTGTGAATAAGGTTCCCTACAGTATACGTTTGTTACATATCATGGAATCAACAGCAATACAAAATGAAATATTTACCAACATGCTCAGAAGTGCTCAGATGTGCCCAGCTTCAAGTGTATGTCGCCCTCACTTAGCATGCTTACAAACAGAACGGAGTGACTGAGAGACGGAGGTAACAGGCCTATAACATGTTTTGTTACGGACAATGCCTCACTGACTCTCTTACATCTGTAGTGATACTAGTATACAAATGTTGATTGCTTTAAGGGGCACAGTTAAAATTACACCCCAATGTGATCTAGAAGCTGTACTGTACACAGAGAAGAAGTTGAATGGTATATAGTGTTGGCTTGAGATCACCGAGGAGTTATAGTTTTAACTGTGACCCGACAATTCAGCAGCCACTAATTGTTTTTTATGCATCCGACTTTTTGATTCCCAAAAAGGAGAATTTTCCACTAGACCTTCTCATTCTGAATGGAAATAAGTTTCACTTTCAATATGATATATATTTGTTTTCATTAAGGTTTTATTTCTACATAAACTGCATATGAAAAGAATGTACAAAGTAACAAAACATATGAATATATTCGACAAAGAGAAAACCTTGGAAGCATTATGCTTGTGAATAAGGTTCCCTTTACATTATACGTTTATTATATATCATGGAATCAACAGCAATACAAAACGAAATATTTACCAATATGCTCAGAAGTGCTCTCAAGTGCCCATCTTTAAGTGTATGTCGCCCTCATTTAGCATGCTAAAAAAACAGAACGCAGCCACTAACTGTTTTTTATGCATCCGACTTTTTTATTCCCAAAAAGAAGAATTTTGACAAAATATCCTATTAAAAATGTATGGAAATTGCACATAAATACTGCGTGCATCTATTGTTATCTTTAGGCGCATCAAGGCATTCTTACATTGTACATGCCAGTGGAACTATGCCTCGTCAATATTTTGTGTTTAAATACCTCTCTTTAGAAATCTAGCCATCTGATTGGTCGGAATTGGAGTCGTGCATGCCCGCCTACCAGTCACTAATTTTTGTTAAATGCCCGCATGCCCCAGTTAACGGGCCGCATGATTAAATTCTGCAAAGACCCCATTTGGTTTACGTGTATAACGTTTCTTTGTGCGAGCGCGGATACCATACAGTGTGTGTGCGATTCCCGAATGATCGTAACATTCAGGCAAATTTCCAGCGAAGATTAACAGACAGTGTCTCAGATTTTCTGTGATTTTTTAACCAATCTTTTCTAAAGAAAAGAATAAGGCAAGAATTATTTGTAGATTTTTTTGTGAAATCGGTTCATAAAAGAAATATGGACTACTTCAATATTCGAGGCATAGCTGTTTCTGTACCGGCTCTCGGGGACGTTGCATCCTGCCGTGATCCCTCGGCGCGCCGCCCACCGCGCCGCGTCTCGGGGTCATGGCAGGATCCCCCCCCCCCCCCCCCACGCCGGGGTCGAAGGGACCACATTCAAGTTCCCAGTTCCCGAAATCTCAGGGTATTTTTCACGCAACAATATTACGTAATACGTAATACACGTAATACACCAAAAAATCGGACCGTATTGACTTTACACACCAGCGATAGTGGAGCTTTTAAAAGGAGGAATATGCAGACGCGTACCATAAATAACATTGAGTGGGGGGGGGGGAGGCGGGGCAAGATGCAATGTCCCCTTGTCCCTGTAGAAACAGCTTTGCATCTCATAGCAGTCAATATATCTATACAATGCTGCATAGTAGCCGGAACTGATTTCTCATGCCTACAACTGTGACTAATTAGAGGTCCATAAATATACATGCAATGGCTAAGCCAGCATTGATTTTATGCTAGGAAAAAAAGTTTCTGAAATGATTCTTAAAGTTACAACACTTAATCTACTTCTGCTGTTGTGTTTTGTATTGCTTTCCAAATGTTAATAAGTTGAATGAAAAAAACAATTTATTTTTATTTTTTAAAGCGTACAAATGATGAAAGAATGCTGCCCTTTCGTGCTACGTTATGTCATGCGAGTAATATTGTACCTACACAGAAATGAATGATAATGAGAAAGTATTAGCTGAGAAAGAGAGAGAGAGGAAGAGAGTATATAAAGAGAGAGAATGGTGGTTCATAGGGAGAGAGAGAGAGTGAGAGGACGAGAAAAAGAGAAAAAGCCGATAAAAAGAGAGAGAACTGGTCCAGATAGAGAGAGAGAGAAAGAAAGAGGGAGAAAGGAATATGATAAGAATGTTATTAACAATGATGATAAAGTTAATATAATGATAATATGAAATAATAATACAAAATAATAATAATAATATATTTCCGAATTGTACGCAATCGTACATTTTCAATTATTGTAAATTCATTTACTTTCTTATATTATTCCACGATGTAAAAACGCTATATATCCGTGTTTCCATCTGACTACGCCATTGTAAATTTACTACTTAGATTATCTATTTGTGTATTATATTTTCTATTGTATTTTGTTTATGTGCTCTATGTAATACCGACAAACTGGATTTCCAAATGGACCAATAAAATTAATCTGAATGAATCTGAATCTGAATGAAAGAGAGTAAAGAAAGAGAATTGTGGTGCATAGGGAGAGTGAGAGGACGAGAAAGAGAAAAAAGAGCCGATAAAAAGAGAGAGAACCGTGGTACAGAGGGAAAGAGTGAGAGAGAGAGAGAGAGAGAGAAAGAAAGAAGGGGGAAAGCCCGGTGTCGTGGTCCACCTCCACAACCCCATTAGTTATACCGGAAGGAGAGACCGGAAGTTACAGTGATTCAGTTCACTTCTTGCCTCCCAGGCACAGCCAAATGTACTAGAAATAATAATACTACTACTACTATTGATAACACTACTAATACAACTGCTACTAATACTAATACTACTACTACTACTACTACTAATAATAATAATAATAATAATAATATTAATGATAATAATAATAATAATAATAATAATAATAATAATAATAATAATAATAATAATAATAATAATAATAATAATAATAATAATAATAATAATAACAATAATAATACTGCTACTTATACTAATACTACTACTACTAATAATAA